TCCACCACATCCTACCTGGCTGAGGCTGTGTTTCAGGCCTTGAGCATCTCCCCGGGGCAAACTGGTGAAGGTCTGTACAGACTCCCATTCTCCCTGCTGGGAAGGAGGCCAGTGTCTACTCAGTGAAGCCCAGTCTGCTGGAGCCCTCAGGGTCCACATGACTCCCTCTGTAGTTCTTGGCTCCACCTACCCCAGACCTGCAGGGGCAGCCTGAGCCCTGGTAGAGGGGTCCATAGGGAGCTTGAGTGCTACCTGAAGTCAGGGAACATCAGCTGTTCGCACAGAGGACACGAGAGTGTGCAGAGTGCAAGTTCTCATTTCATTTTAGGGTCTTTAATATTCAATAATGCCATTTAAGTGGACATCTTTCCCCAGGGATTTAAACCTGGTGGCAATATGGCTGACTGAAGCGAGAAAGCGTGGTCACTTGGGAAGGTACAGAAGAAAATTTCCAAGTCCAGGAAAGGTTCTAGAACCTGCTGCCTACTGACTTTTCTTTGAGCCGGAAAACTAAGAGATGTCAGGAGAGACGTGAAACCAAGCCAATCAGAGACCAGTATCAAGAACTAGCCTGTCTCCAGGCCCTAAGTGCCTCTTGTTGCTGAGCAAATCAGTCAGCTTCTCTGTTCACTTTTCTTGTTCACATGAAATTATAAGAGAAGATAAAAGCCACACACAGTTCTGTCACCTGAGGTAACCAGAATTAATGTTTTATGTGCATACAAAATTTTTAATGATTTTTAGAGGTTTTTTGTTGCTTTTTATCTTTGTTTTTTTTAATCTCTGCACTTCTTCCTCCATCAATAATCAAAACAAACAAAGAAAACAGGTCTGTGTTCATCTTCCCAAACCTCTTTCCATGTAAAAATTGAAACACACACACACACACACACACACACACACACACACACACACCCCTCCTTAGGTTAGGTTGGTTGCTTGTCTCCCCAGCATCTCTTGATTTCTTTCCTCTCTTATATACAGTACACTGCAAAAATTCTACTTGACTTCAATGGTTAAGGCTTAGCCCACTCTTTTTCACTGTTGTATAATATTTTAGAGATGTTTAGAGAACAGGTTTATTCAACAACTCCCTAACTGGTAAGCAGTTACATTGCTGGGTTTTATTTTGTTGCTACAACTATTGCAGGAAACACTTTTGTATTTCTATATGATGTTTTATTAATTTAAGGAATTCCAGAGTGAGACTGTAAGTCAAAAAGGTTCGGGTTGGGTTGGTAAGATGGCTCAGTGGGTAAAAGTGCTTGATGTGCAACGTGAGGACCCTGGAGTTCAATCCCTGGATCTCACAGTAAAAGGAAAATCAATTCCTGAAAGTTACGGCATGAACATACCCTCATTCACACTCATGGATCTCTCTCTCTCTCTCCTTCTCTCTCTCTCTCTCTCTCTCTCACACACACACACACACACAAATAATAATAACAATAATAATAAAAACATCTTTTAAAAGGTATGTGTGTTTTTAAAGTAGAACTTGAAGGAGTTCTTTTGGGCTGGCGTATATCTCAGTGGTAGAAAACTTGTTTAATATGTTCAAGGTGCTGGGTTCAGTCCCACAGCAGCACAAAATGAAAAATAAATAAGTGCCTTCTAGAGTAACAATATTATCTGTCTGAGAAATCTGTACTAAGCACGCACTGAACGCCAACATGGCTTTAGATTCAACAATGAACAAAATACAGATCTCAGCCCTGACGGACCACATGCACAAGAAATGGAGTGAGAATGAGCAGACAGACCACAAATACCCGGGGTGAATACCCTGGGGTTTCAAACTGGAATGTGTATAAACGCAAACGTCCCTTTCTTTGCCGTAAATGGGCATTGCCATCCTGTCTGTTTTTACCAGTCTTCCTGCTCTAATGTGATACTCTCTTCTTATTTTAGTTTGTATTTCCACTTAGTAAGTAATCTTGTTTTCATATGCTCATTTAGTTATTTGAATTTGTGTTGCAGGAATGTCCTATTTACAGTCTCTGTGCATTTTTCTATTGAGCAGATTAGAGCAACATCGTACTTCTTGTCAATCTTCATGAGCTCTGAATTCCCCGTGAACAAATGTTTCTCTGCCCCGGGCTTTGCAAGTGTTTCCCCAATATATTGCTTATATACTGACTTCATGACTTTATTCTGCCATATAATAGTGATAATGTTGATGAATTTGTAAATGTCTTTTTGTTCTTCCTTAATTTCTGGCTACCTTTATCAGTCTCTGAGTTCTCGATTATTTGTATAGTGTCCAAAGTTTTCATTCCAATAATGTGTGTTTGTGTATGTGTGTATATATATGTATATTATCTGTACATTACACATATATGAGTGTGTGTGTGTGTGTGTTTTGTCTGGGATTTGCCCAGTGTCAGTGCACATTAACCAAGTGCTCTACCACTAAGCTACACACCTGGCCCTATTTTATCACATAGTATGAGGTAGGGGCAATTGCATTTTCTTCCGTGTGGCCATCTTCCCAATGCCACTTATTAAAGTAAACCACCAGTTCTTCACTGAACACAGATGGCACTTTTTCGTACTAAATCGTCACATTGAACATGCAGCTTCCTTGTATAACAAAATTCTTGCCATACCGCCCCGTCGATGACACATCTGCTCCTTCCGGTTTCATGCTGTTTTCGTTCCAGTATTGTTTTTCCAACCTTCAAGCTAGATTCAAATTTTATTTGGTTCTGTAAACATTCAGAGAACTTGATCCAATTTAAAAAATTTAATTCTAATAGTAAACACATTAAAATTTGCATAAGCAACAAGAAAGAAGTCAGGGTCAAAAAGATAACAGATTAAAATAACTACGGGAGAATGCTGCGTAAAAACGAAGGCAGCAAGAGCTGCAGAGCGTACCCTCATCACAATGGCACAAGGAAGAAGTGGAAATATCTAATTCCTGCAGGAGACTTTGAAATGCACGGGAAGACTGGCTGTTCCAGGAGGCTCCAGGAACCTGTGCTTAACAGCCAAGAGTTCTACCCAGCCCTTAAAGAGCAGCCCATCCCAGTGCCAGACCACCACAGTGTCAGCCCATCCCAGGGCCAGACCATCCCAGTGTCAAACCATCCCAGTGTCAGCCCATCCCAGTGCCAGACCATCCCAGTGCCAGACCATCCCAGTGTCAGCCCATCCCAGTGCCAGCCCATCCCAGTGCCAGCCCATCCCAGTGTCAGCCCATCCTAGTGTCAGCCCATCGCAGTGTCACTAAGCTCTCGAGACCAGGGGAAGACAAAGAGCTCCCAGAATGCCCTACCAAGGCAGCACTACCTTGCAGTTAAAGTCCCTCACACCGGTGGTGCATAGAAATCTAGCTTTCTAATCCAATAACAAGTAGAATCCATTCTGTGCCAAAAAATCCCCAGAGTGTGACCAAATAGCTTTACTCCAAGCACATGAGTGTCTCAGTGGACGTTTGCTCACACGATCCATTATTCTAACAAAATTTAAAGCAGTTGCATAGAAAGATGCCAACCAGGCATGACTCAAATTCAGTAGCTATTCCTAATACAGACATGACGTTGGATACCAAAATTTTCTGAAAATTGGAACGTTGCTTGTACATTTTGGCATTAAAGTTCATTTGGTGAGAAAGCTGACCTCAGTTAATGCAAAGAAACATTAAAATTTAAAAGCGTTATTCTTTAACATGTAAAATTGTATATGTTCTGTAGGTAAGGCATGATTAATTACACAAAGCACTTGTAGGGGTTGGAGAGATGGCTCAGTGCTTAAGAGTGCTTGCTGCGCTTGCAGAAGACCCTAGTTCAGTTCCCAGCACCCGTGTCAGACAGCTCACAACTGCCTATAACTCCAGGGAATCCAGTGTGCACCTGTACACATGTGGCATATACTTACACACACAATAATAATGATAATAATAATAGTAATAAATCTAAAAAATACTTGTGGGTTAGTTACTGAGACTCTGCCCTAGATCCAGAAATGACTGTGAACTCCTTTGTTTTCCTGAGTTGAGTTCAGTAGCAATGAGGTAAGGAATATGCTTTCAACTCCCAGGAAGAAATGGATTGCGTGTCATTGACTCCATGGCACTGCTGCAAGAAGCCAGCATTTAGCTCATGTATCACTGAAAGATGAAGAGAGCTGCTGGTAACTACACCAAGAAGCATCATTCCATTGTAAGACGTGGAATTTTAGAACTGATGGAACATGGTACCCATACCCTTCTGAGAGAGTGGCTCAGTGTCCCTCCCTACCTCATGAAGGTCTATATCTTGGGGATGTCCAGATCCCCAAGTGTGGGGAGAGTGGTAGCCTCAGGTGTACCCCTAGGCTGACTCTGCTCTAGCTGCTCGTTGGCTGTGAGACTATTGATGGCTGACTGTGACCCTCCCTAAAGAGTAGGAGGGTGGTGATGGTAGAGCAGAGCTGATGGTGTGGTCTCTGGGGTCTTCACGTCTATTTTTTACCTAAGGACAAACTTGACCATGATTTCTACTGAGCATCAGTGGTCGGTTTTTTATTGTACTATCGGTTTTCCATATATATATATATATGCATCTCACCTGAAAATTTGAGCTACAGAGAATCTCAGACAGTTTCTAACAAAATCCCAGTCTACAGAGGAACCTGTGGGTCCAAGGAGGAAGGGTGACTTTCCTGGTGACATAGTGACCCACTGGCAGAATAAGACTGAAGGAGGTCAGGCTCCATAGAACAAATAGGGCTCTGCTGCCCAGGCTCCTGCCCTAGGGAAGCTCCTGCCCTAGGAGACACCCAGCTGTTCCTTAGCTTTGCATCAGGCCAGTGGTTTCTATGTTCTAAATGCAGTCATCATTCCTCTCTGGGCCACTGAAAAGGACAGATGCCAGCTTAGCCCTCCCTGCCCTTTCTCCTACACTCTGATGTGGAGGATGTTGAGGACTGCACTGTCCCACGTTCCTCTTTGGAGGGTTTGGATCCAGAGTCCAGGGACTGGCAGCCTCACACCATTGTTCTTTGTTCCCTGCAGGATGGGGCTGCTGAGCAGCAAGAGGCAGGCCAGCGAGAAGGGCAGGGGCTGGAGCCCTGTGAAGGCTGGAGCCCAGGGCAAAACTTCCCCTCCACTGCCACCTGTGGTAAGTGACCAGCCCCTTCTAGCACTGGAGTAGAGGCAGGAAAGGCAGTGTAGGGCACATGGCACTCCCTGGACCAGCCCCTTTGGGCTCACGTGTTTAGAGGACCATTTCATGTCACCCCCTGCCTGGCCACCAAGCTGTTTTTCATTTGGGGCAATTGGAGTCCTACCTGGACCTATGTGCTGCTCTGACTGCCACCATGGGCATTACTGAGATTCTAACAGGGACCTGATGGGGGCAGGGATCGATGATTCCATGTCATAGTTAGGCCAGGCCTCTTTTCCAGCCACGCCCCTGTATAACACAAGACTGCACACAATGAAATGTTTGTTGAATGAATGATCCTAAGGGCAAACTCATTCTTAGGTCAAAGTTGTATGCTAATAAGTAGAAGCCTGGAATTTTTAGCTTAAGAAAGCTCTATAATATACTCTAATTGTGAAAAGCGATCATTGTTACTATTTCACTTGCCAGAGATACTGGAGTCAGTTCTCCTGTGCTCCTGTCCCCGAGACCCTTCTTTTGTCCATTCTTTGTATCATATGTTTATATGTTTTTTTTATTTTTTTATTTTTTTGATGTAGGCTATTTGAAACAATTATGGAGATAGATGCATTTGAATCTCCTAACTCACCTCTTGTGAAGAGCAAGAAATGTTTACATTTTTAATGCAACTGGGCCATGCATATCATTTTGCAAAAGTCCACTTCAGAATTGTGCTCAGTAAGTTTGGAATGTAAAGGAAAACTTGTTCCACCAGTTTGCAAGAACACTGTTGTATCAGTCACTCTCTGCTGCTGTGACAGAAGCACTGACACAAAACAACTTATAAAAGGAAGTTTGTTTGAGCTCACGGTTCCAGGGGAATTACAGTCCGTCTTGGTGGGGAGGCATGGTGGCAGAGGTGGCTGGAGAGGAGGAGCGGAAGCTAAGCTCTACATCTTCCAGCAGGTACAGGAAACAAAGAGAGAGAGAGACTGGAGATCTGGGGAGGCTTAAAAGCTCTCTAAGCCCACCCCCAGTGACGGCTTCCTCCAGGATAGCCACACCTTCTAAAACCTCCCAAAACAGCAGCACCATCTGGGGACAAAATATCCAAAAACTTGGAGCCTATGGGGGACATTTTCATTCAAACCATCACAACTGTGAAATGAAAAGCTATCCCCCACCCCAGAAACAGAAAGTGACCAATTCTACGTACTCTCCTGGCTGCTGCTCCAGCCCGTCCCCTCCACTATAGAAACAGAGGAAGGAATGGACGCATGAATGCTAGTGGTCAGCTTGTTTTCTCTATTCACATAGTTCAGAATCCTCTGTCTAGGGAATGATGCTGTCCACAATGGCAGGTCTTTCCACCTCAGTTAAAGTAATTAACCTAATCCCTGGAGATATGACCATGGGCCAATCTCATTTAGACAGCCCTCACCGAGACTACTGTCCTAGGTTATACTAGATTGTGTCAAGTTCACAATCAAAACTAATCATCACTGCCAAATGTGGTGGCGCTCGCCCTCAATCCCAGAACTTGGGAGGCAGAGGCTGGCAGATATCTGTGAGTTTGAAGCCAGCCTGGTCTATGTAAGTTGCAGGCCAGCTAACCAGGACTACGTAGTGAGATCCTGTCTCAAAAAAAAAAAAAAAAAACCAGCTTGCGGCTAGAGAGCTTCCAACCAGCCTGACAAGTGAACCTCTCAGCACTCATCAAAGAAGCTTCTTTTTACAACAGATGGAGACTATTACAAAGTCCCACAACTAGTCACACACAGAGAAAACGTGTCTGATGTGCTCAGCCCTAAGTGACACATTGACAATGCAATCGCTACACCTAAGGCTCAGGGAGCATAGTAGAACAGGGGGCAGAGAGAATATTCACGCATCTCTCAACTCTCACCATTGAAGTTTCCTCATGCAACAGATGGTGATGAACTCAGAAGGCCACAACTGGTCAAACTGCAGAGAATAAGAAACTGCAGAGTGCTTTTCCCTGAACAGGACACCTGTATCAAACCTGTGCCACACAAGGCTCAGGGACTGTTGTGGGAGAGGGCGCGGAAAGATTGTAAGAGGCAGAGGTGGTTGGTGAGCACAAGGAAACGGAGTTTTCCAGACATGTGGCAAGTTACCCATATGAACTCACACAGTGGTGACAGCAAACACAAGACACATGCACACACAGGCCAGACATAGAAGTGAGAAGGTGGGTAAGAAATCCCAACCTTAGCTGAGGAGCTATTGGCAACCAACAACTACTGGGAGAGGGAGAGTTGGTTTTCCTTCAGGATGTGATGCTGGACAGGTTAGCCAGGCTCTGGTGGGTGGACGCACACTGAAGGACATTTGGGGACACAAACTTGGCTCAATAGACCTTAACGTATATGACAGAATGCATGAAATCTGACAGAGGGACTATAACAGGAGTGCAGACAGGGAGTGGGGAGGGGTTCTAAGCATGATAAAGACATAGTGTATGAAACTCTCAAAAATTCAGTAAAAAACCAAACAAGCAACAACAGCCATTACACATCTGTATGTGTCCCTAAACAATATATAGCTTTGATTTTTCACCTTGTAGACGTGAAATCAGCCAAATCAAACATGCCGTATTTTACTGAAATTTGTGTTTGTGCCATTGTCATGCTTGTGGGATTTAACCACATTGATGCACTGTGAGCCGAAGCTCACTGTTTTGTTGTTCGGTCATGGATCATATGCGTATCTCCATGTTGAAAATGTTTTACGTATTATTATTACTAGGTATATCCTTGTGGTGTGTCCTGAAACACAAATGCAGAAGTCTATCACAAGATAGACACCTGCAAATATCTGTTGACATTTTAAAGGAAAATACGATTTTAAAATACTTTTCTTTGCCAACCAATACCCTTCTGCAACTTCACCATTTAATGGCAGAGCCAGGATTTTAACTCAGGTAACAGGGCTTTTTCCCCGTTTGAAGCTGGGGGTAATCAATGCATGGTCAAGGCAAGGATGGCAAATTGTTTGGGGTGACACTGCTACCCCAGGTAGTTGCTGCAGTGTGTACAGAATTGATGTTTAGCCTTCAAAGGTGGCTGCCCTACTTCCTGGGCCCCCACAGGTAATCTAGTCAACTCATTCTCCAGTAGCTTCCAGCCAGGCCCCACTCTGCTGCATGCTGCTGAACTAACTCTGTGTTTGACCCTAGGTTGTCTTTAACCACCTTGCCCCTCCACCTCCTGAACAGCATTCTGATCAAGGTGAGAACGGGGCACAGGAGTTTTCTCCTGAGGTTCAGTTTTGTGTTCGAATTAGGGCATTTGGGAGGTGCCCTCTAGGGCTGGGAGGTGTGGTGAAAGCTGAGAGCTTTAAAAAACACATTGCAGACTGTAAAGGAGAGAAAAGAAAGGGTTACAAGAGCAGCCAGCACTGTCAAGGTCCGGCTTGCAGACTCAAACTTCCAACCTCAAAGTCCGGCGTGATCACAGGGTTGAGTCCATGTGGAGGATACCATCTTGTCTCCCTCTTCAAGGTCCGGCTTGCAGACTCAAACTTCCAACCTCAAAGTCCGGCGTGATCACTGTGTCCTCTCCCAGGCCAGGGTTGAGTCCATGTGGGGGATACCATCTTGTCTCCGTCTTCCTAACTCTCTCTCAATCCTTTGGGCTTGCCTCCTGGGGCCCCAGGGGCCTGTGTTGCTACCTAAAGTTCTACAGGGGTCTTGAGCCAAGGCCACAAGGCCCTGACCTTTGACCCTAATGGGCTGCCAGTTTCTCCCTGGTCAGCAGCCCTCCTGGGTTTGTTTTCTTGGCCAGTCCGAACTTACTCTATATATTCTGGACATATCCCGTTCGATAAGACGGGCTGCTCCATAGAAGGCAGCTCCTTGGGCAGGTCAGGCTGTCTGGACAAATCTTTCCTTCTTCCCCTGCACCAAGACCCTGCCTGTCACACCCTCAGCAAAGTGGAAATGGCCCAGACAGCTATGAGCACTGAACCATGAACACAGTGCATTCTCATCACCCGGCTGCCTACCTCCACGATCCACTGTCCCCCACAAGGATGGGATCTGTTGTGGGGTGCCGGGGACTGCCCAGAGCATACTGTGTGAGCCTCTGTCACATTTCTGTCTCCCCCCTCCTCTCTCTAGAGCTGGAGACTGGTGGTTGGTCAAGTCACTTGTCACTGGGAGAGAAGGCTATGTGCCCAGCAACTTTGTGGCCCCAGTGGAGACCCTCGAAGTAGAAAAGTAGGTGGGCTAAACAGCCTCAAGCCGGAGCATCGGGGCCGCATTAGCCATCTTGAGTAGGGAAGGAAGGGTCAGCCTTCATGTTCTGGGCAACTTCTAATCACCTGAGTGATACCAAGGTCATCACTCTTCCTATCTGGAAGAGCTGTCCATTTCCTGGTTTCTCTGGACAAGACTGTCCCCAGTGTCTAGTCACCTCCAGAATTCATAGCACTGCTGGCCCTATGTCCAGAAACCACTCTCTACCACCTCCAGGGATGGTTCTCTGTGGGCTGCAACAGTGTTCTCATCACCAGCTTCTACGTCCTGGGAAGGGCCATCCAGGTCATTCACTTACTCCCTCATGTGGTGTGGAGACATGCAGCTGGCTCTGCCCCAGGACTAAGGAAGGTGGTAGAGTGGTAACACTCAGCTCCTCCCCTTCCCCTCCAGACACCCGGGCCTTGGCCTTTCCCTAGAACAGTGTTGGCTTAGCTCTTTCATCACTATTACAAAATACAACTCAAGGGAGGATTTATTTTAGCTTGTGGTGTGAGAGGGCATAGTCCATCATGGTGGGGAAGGCATGGTACAGTTCGTGGTGGCAGGAATGTGCGGCTGGGACCCCTCACCTCTAAGTGGACCAGTAAACAGAGAGCTCCTGCAGGCAGACTGAGCTGGCCTCAAGTCCTGCCTCTACAGCCTCCAGCTAGATCTCATGTCTCAAAGATTGCATGGCTTCCCGAAACAGCACTAGTCAGAGACCACGTACTCAGACTTGAGCCTGTGGGGGGGACATTTTACACCCAACCACAAGAAGTGCCAAAAAGCCCCATGCCAAAGAGCTGGGACTGGGCAGGGGTTGGATGGGGAGTCCAGGCCTAGAAAGTCTCTGGCAGCATCAATCAGTCACTTAGATGACAAGGATGGGCAAAGTCATGGCAGCATCTGGGCATCTGGTGAGGGTGGTTGATCAGGTGTGTTTTTGCAGACCAAGGCTAGCACAGGTCACCTAATGCTCTCATTTCTTCCTGGGAACACAGTAAGCCAGCAGTTGATGGGAAATGGAACCAGACAGGGTCGTAGGGACTGGGGGCCACCTAACTGAATTAGATATGAAGGATACCTCAGTGTTAACTTGTGGGAACCGTCACCAGGAGGGGTGGAAGATGGTATAGAGTGACCCAGTTCTGAGGCTTACCTAGCTCCGCTGTTTTCCAGGTGGTTCTTCAGGACGATACGTCGGAAAGATGCTGAGAGGCAGCTGCTGGCACCAATGAACAAGGCAGGTTCCTTCCTCATCAGAGAGAGCGAGACCAATAAAGGTGAGCAGGGTGGCCTCGCTGTCCCAACTTGTCGTTCGTAGTCCTGGGGAGTCCCCACTGAGGCCTCGATCTGGGGGTGGGGGTATCTGGTGGCTTCTGTCCTGTGTCCCTTCTGCTCAAAGCCCTGCCTGGGATCTGGTTTTGAAGCTGTCCATACTAACTGCTCTCCTGGTCTCATGATTGACATTACTGAGGCCTGGATGACAGGGGCAGTGGGAGTCCGGTGGCATGATGTCACGTACAGGTTAGCAGGAACACAGAGGTGGTGGGGAGGGGGGCAGGGGGACTGAAGAGGGAGTGTCCCCTGCAGCCTGTGGTCCCCAGTCGCATTTGCAAACCAACGAATCAGGGAGCTCAGAGAATCTTTAGAGAGGATCTCAGAGGCTGGCGGGACACAAGAGGTTGGGAAGTGGCCTGTGTCCAGGTGTAGAAGGGCAGCAACTGGTGAGTTAGACCAGAGCCAGTCTGTGAGACACGTGGACTCAAATCCACCTGTGACTGAGCAAGCTGCTGTGTCACCCTTAGGTCACTGTTCCTCCCTTTTCCCTCCCTCCATCTGTCCCTCCTTTCCTCTCCCTCCCTTCTTCTCTGTCACTTACTAAATAACATTCTGCACTTCCTCCTCCTCCTCTTCCCCCTCCTTCCCCTCCCCCTCCTCTTCCTCCTCCTCCCCTCCCCCTTCCTAAATCTGACCAAAGCCCTGAGCCTGGCAGTGGGATTAACATCTTTCCTCCTCATTTTTGTTTTTTTGAGTCTCACTATGTAGACTGACCTTAAACTTGTCTTGCTCTTCCTGCTTCTGCTGAGAACTGAGATTACACGTACAGGCATATGCCATGGAATCTACCTGACATTTTTTTTTTTCCCTTTTCTTTTCTTTTTTCAGTGGTTGTGAGACAGGGTCTCCCTGTAGCCCCAGCTGGAACTCTCTGTGTAGACCAGGCTGGCCTCAATCTCATAGACATCCACTTGCCTCTGCCTCCTAAGTCCTGGGATTAAAGGCATGTGCCACCATGCTTGACCTGACATTCTTTCTTAATGCCTTTTTTTTTTTTGAGGCAAACTCAGGGCCTTACATGCCAGGCAAGTCCTCCACTAACTACATCCTCAGATCCTTAATGTCCTTTCTGTTATAAAGTATGAAAGATGCAGAAATTATGAAGAACTAATAATAAATTGTGCAGTACGATATTAAATAAATCCCCATGTAAACACAATTAGGAGGTAGAACCTTCCAGAAGTCCAGGAGCCCCTCACACCTCCACTGGCCTCTTGCTGATTCAGCACCCCTCCCTTCCTGAGAGATGATATGCTTGTGGGGAAACCCTTCCTTGCTTTTCTGTGGCTCCGATCTGTCGCCTTTCAGCTTTATACAATGGAGCCCCACTGCTGGTGTTTCCCACTCAACATTGTGAGATTCTGCGTGTCCAGCTTGGGCAGTCAAAACATGCACAGCAGACAGCGTCAACAACAGGTGTTTATTTCCTGGAGGTTCTGGAGACTGGAAGCCTGGGATGGGTGTTGGCAGGGTTGGTTTCTCTTGACGCCTCTCCTCTTGGCCTATAGCCAACCACTTCTCCTAACAAGGCCGTCCCTCTGGGTGTCTGTGTCATAATCCCTTCTTCTTAAGACACAGTCCTTTGGGCTAGGGCACCCCAATCACCTCATTTTACCTTAATCCTTCTTTGAGAACCTATCCCCAAATATGGTCACCTTCTGAGGGGCAGGGATCAAGATTACAGAGTATGGATTTGGGGGACTCAGGGGATGAGAGCCATACCAGATGCCCACTGTGGGTGGGCAGTGAGAAAAGACAGAGGCATCATGGGGCAGGAGTGCCCTGCTACCCTTGATACCATTCATGGCTTCAGGGCAGAGGCCAGCAAGCACAAGTCAGAGCAGCAAGAGCTGGGCCACAACAGCCATTTAGAGCACACGGTGACATTCTACAGAGAGGGACAGTCACTCAGAGCACACGGTGACACTGTGAGGAGATGGCACAGCCTCACTGCCCCTCCAAGGACGAGGGCAGGACTGGGGAGGAGAAGATGGGGAAGCTGGGGTGCTCTGTGGAGAGCTTCCCAAGATGCACCAAAGAGTGCATTAAATTTTATAGATTTTCTGAATTTTATAAATATATACATCATGTGGATATGAATTGTGGACATACCACATATGCACGTATTAGGACACGGCTGCTAGGCCGTCCTCATGGCAGGCTGCCTCCATCCACGAAACAACTAGACAATCAAATCACTGGAGATGCATGGCAGTTGATCATGTAGACTATCTCCAACACACAGAGATAGATAAAGTGGCACAATGGTGCCCCCATACCCATCACCCAGCTCCCACAGGATCAGCTGAGCCCACCTTGTTTCTTAGACACATGCCTCCCCCTGCCCGATTCACCCTTACTCTTTGAAGTGAGACTCAGACACAGCACCATTTCGTGGTGGAAATACCTGTTGCTAAGCTGTGCTGTGCAGGGAAATTGCCTCTCCCCTGATGTGGAGGAAGATGGGGTTCCCTAAAGTCTGGACATCTCTCCCTGTCCTTGTTCATCAGGGGAATCTGGGAATTGGCTGGACGGAGCTGAGGCTTCAGGACTGTCCAAATATCATGCACGTGTAACACACACATGAGCACACACATGCATCTCAGAATTCCAGAGTAGTCTCGCTCTGCATCAGGAAGATAGAGCCTGTGGATGTAAGGTAGGGAAGCCACTTCCAAAGTTCCACGTAGTCACCAGGATGCCCCTCGGCTTCCCAAGCAGCTGATTCTGGGCACCTGTGTGGGGACCCACTGGTTTCCTACCTGAAAGGCAGGTGAACCATTCAGTGCTAAGAAATCTGGAAGGAAGAATTTCAGCAGGAGAGGGAAGCGGATGAGAGGTCAACAAGAGGGGGTGGTGAAAAGACTAAAATTCATTAGACAAAGGTATGGAACTATTAAGAATTGAAAAATATTTTTTTTCTGTTCAAGAGGATTTTTATTTTATTTTTTTCCCAGTTAATTATTTATTTAATAACAACATACTTAGAAGAAGGATTTCATTACAACAGCATTGACATATTCAATAACAATTTTCTGAGCTAAGATGCATCTTTTTCAAAATTGGCTGTAAATTTTTAGGTTTACAGTTGAATTATTACAGTTATATAATACTGTCCTCAGTAGAAACCTTATAAGACATAAAATTAAGTGAGGTTTTAACATTTAAAAAAGATCTACATTTCATTATTAAAATACACAGTTTCATATGCAAAATTCATTTTCTAATGCAATTAACATTAAGATATTTGCACATGTGTTTCTAATCTCTATATATCTGATTATTACTAGCCACAGTTGGTTACTTTCTGTTCTGAGCTCCT